ATGGGCTTCTCATTGCTGTGGCTTCTCTTGTTGCAGAGCACAGGCTCCAGGGCACGCAGAATTAGTTCAGTAGTTGCTGTGCATGGGCTCAGTAGTTGCGGCAAACAGGCTTACTTGCCCTGTGACATGTGGAATCTTCCCTGACCAGGGATTTAAACCATGCCTCCTGCATTGATTGGCAGATGGACTGCTAGGGAAGTCCTGATTGTTTCACTGATGCTACCAAAGCCTTGATGTATATCTGGAATTAAATTGTAGGTTCCCAGTTTTGTCAAAGACAGAGTGGTAGGTGTCCAAGAAGAGTATAACCAAGGTTGGAATCTGAGCGGTTTCTATTTCCAGATTAAACCTTCTATTCTGGCTGACTGAATACCTGATAATATTCACAGGAAGGGAGTAAAATACAGTATACTCAAAGGACTTTCTTGGTGGTCCAGTAGCTAAGACTTCCATGCTTGCAGTGCAGGGGGACCCAGGTTCAGTCCTTGGTCAGGGAACTAGATTCCGTATGCTGCAGCTAAAGAATCTGCATGTTGCCGTGAAGATTGATGATCCCGTGTGCCGCAGCTAAGACCCGATGAAGCCAAATAAATAAATAAATTTGGCTGCACCAAGTCTTAGTTACAGCATTGGGGAGCTTTAGTTGCAGCATGTGGAATCTAGTTTCCTGACCAGGGATTGAACCTGGGCCCCCTGCCTTGGGAGCCTTGAGTCTTAGCCATTGAGCCACCAAGGAAGTCCCCGATAAGTAAATATTTTTAAAAAAGCAAAATGAAACTCTCTGTAGTTATGTCACGTCTGTGCTGTCTTCTAGATTCAGTTGGGTTAAGAGTGTGAAAAGGACTGTATAAGGGGCTCTTTATGGTACAAAGAGGTATTAGAGAACAGTGAGATTTTTACTTATTATTTTGTAGCTTTAAGAATTAGCTGAAGAAGCCTTTGGAAGTGATCATTTTTTAAAGCTCATTATTGGAGTATAGTTGCTTTACTGGGAGTGATCATTTTAGTTTTGTTATGGGGGCTGCTTACCACATCTGTATGTTGCCTAGACTGCACATTAGTTTTTGCTGGTTGTTTTGAAAAGCTTTGTGCTCTCTCTCGCATTAATCTTTCCGAGTCAACTATTCTCAGTGTTGTGCATAAGTATAATTCTGGTATCTGGATATGAGAAAGTAGTCTAGTATTGGTACTAATCTTGGGTTATTTTTACATAATTAGTTGAAATCTCCTTCTGTGGTTAAACTGGAATAACTTTTGCTCATTTAAAAAAGTATAGTTCTACAGTTAGAAAGCTTTGGGTTCACATTTCTTTTTTTGGGGGGGGGGTTCACATTTCTACTTTGCCACTTAACTAGTTGTTAGACCTTAACTTCATTTCTCTGTGCCTGGCAGATAGTAACTCTGTACCTATTAAAACATAGTTGCCCATCATTCCTCACCTTAACACCTGGCAACCTCCGTTCTACTTTCTGTATCTATGAATTTGAGTACTCTAGGGTCTTCATATAAGTAGAATCATAAAATATTTGCCCTTTTGTGTCTAGCTTATTTAATTTTAGCATAATACCTTCAAGGTTCCTCTGTGTTTTGGCATGTGTCAGAATTTCATTCCTTTTTAAGGCTGAATAATATTCCTTAAGACCCTGATGCTGGAAAAGATTGAAGGCAGAAGGAAAAGGAGGCAGCAGAGGATGATATGGTTAGATAGTATCACTGATTCAGTGGACATGAATTGTAGCAAACTTCAGGAGATAGTGGAGGACAGGGGAGCCTGGTGTGCTGCAGTCCATGGGATTGCAGAGTCTTGCATAGGACTTAGCAGCTGAACAATAGCAACAACTGTCTATTTTCTTTTGTGACTATTCATTCCCACCAGCAGTGTACCCATTTTTAAATTGGGTTGTTTGTTTTGTTGTCATTGAGTGATAGGAGTTCTTTTTACTGCATATTAATCCTGTATCAGATATATGATTTGCAAATACTTTCTCCCATTTTGTGAGTTATTTTTTACTCAGTTGATAATGTCCTTTGGTGCACAAAATTTTGATGAGATCCAGTTTACTATTTGCTGTTTTTGGTGTCATATTCATGACATTGTCATCAACTCTGTCATGAAGCTCTTCCCCCCTGTGTTTCCTTCTAAGAGTTTTTAAATTTTAGTTCTTATTTTTAGGTCTTTGATCCATTTTGAGTTAATTTTTGTATATGCTCCAAGGTAAGGGTCCAGTTTTATTCTTTGGCATGTGGATATCCAGTTTTTCCAGCACCATTTGTTGAAAAGACAGTCCTGTCTCTACTGAGTGGTTTTGATATCCTTGTTGATGATCATTTGATCATATATGCGAAGGTTTATTTTTGGAGTCTGTATTCTGTTCCATTGGTTTGTATGTCTCTCTTTATGCTCGTACCACACTGTTTCACTAACTGGGGCTTTGTAATAAATTTTGAAATCAGTAAGTGTAAGTGCTCTGACTCTTCTTCATTTTCAAGATTGTTTTGGCTATTTGGGACCCCTTGAGATGACATATGAGTTTTAGGCTGTGTTTTTCTTTTCATATCCCTTTTTTTATATTGGGCCAAACGATATAAAACTAAACTGAATGGGATCCTGTTATTATAATATGGCAGCTGGTTCTTGTCATATCAAGTTTTAATTTCACCCAGCTCCTTGGATCACGTATTTTTCTTTACAGTGTTAGAAGCAGGGTTGCTCTGGATAACTTTTGCTCTTACAAATGAATTTGTTTGCTGTGGTTGGAGCATTTTGTTTATTGTTGAAAGTTTGGTTCGAATTTATTTATTTTTGGTTGCACTGGATCTTTGTTGCTGCATGTGGGCTTTCTCTAGTTGCGGTGAGCAGGGGCTATTCTTTATTGAGGTGAACGGATTTCTCATTGTGGTGGTTTCTCTTGTGGTAGAGCACAGCCTCTAGGGCACACAGTCTTCAGTAGTCGTGGTATATGGGCTTTAGTTGTCTGCGGCTTATGGAATCTTCCTGGACCACGGATCAAATCCGTGTCCCCTGCATTGGCAGACAGATTCCTATCTACTGTGCTACTAGCGAAGTCCAGCATTGGCTTTTCTTTTTGCAGAGCATGTTCTCTAGGGCACTCGGGCTGGGCTTCAGTAGTTGCAGTTCACCGGCTCTAGAGTGTGGGCTCAGTAGTTGTGGCGCATGCGCTTAGTTGCCCCTCAGCATGTGGGATTTTCCCAGACTGGGGATCGAACCATGTCCCTTGAACTGGCAAGTGGATTCTTAACCACTGGACCAGCAGGGAAGTCCTCAAATTAAAAAAAAAAAAATCAAGACACACAGTGAGAAGTTTCTCATCACTTCTCACCTGCCTAGTTTTAAACATCATCATTTGTGATTCCTTTTCTGTCATTTCAGAATTTTCTGTGTATGTGCAAGCATATGTGAATTTCTTTTTAGTTTTTCTTTTTACACAAAAGATAGCTTTCTACATCTGTTTTTTCATTTAATAATATAGGAGATTCTTTTCAAATCTATATACAGAGAATTTGCTTATTCTTTAAATGAAAATTTTGAGGGTGAAAATCTTTTTATGGATATCAGAACTTTGTAGGGAAAGAATATTCAAGTTTATGGCTGTGTACCTTTGCTATTGTCTACAAGTCTGGCTCTTTAATAACTTTCATTGCTATTATTCTCTTAGTCAGCATTGAATAAACGTAATTTGAGTACCGCTATGTTATTAAACTTAATTTAGGAGTGCTGATTACCTAGTTTATAAAGTCTGTTTTGTTTTTTCATCTGTAGTCCTAAGTCCCAAATTACATCAGAAAACCCAAGTCTCCGATAAGTGATACAGGGTAGTTTTCCTAGTTCCTAGAGTATATAGACCCCAGGTGGTTTTTCTCTATCCTCGACTAGTTTGGTCTAGAAGAAATGACTGATAAGAGAAAACTTGGATCTCTTTACCCATGTGTCAGCGCTCTGTTTACTTTGTAACCACATAAATCTGCTGGTTGTGGGGAACTGAAAAAGCCTGGCTATTCATATATTCATATGAACATTCATAGGTATTAGGTACTTATTGTATATCTACTATGTAAAAGACATACACATAAGTGTTGTATAGCAAGTAAAGATTAATTATAAAACTTCAGTCCTCAAGAATATACATAGTCCCGAAGAGAAGACATGTATTAAAATAACTACAATATTAGATACAGTGTGTTTATAAATTAAGTGACCAATGTATTAGGAAACAACATATCAGCACCTTTTACAGCTTGGTTCAGAGTGTGATTTAAGCTTATCAAATCCTGAAAATTCTACTTTGAAAAACATCTTTGTATCCCATCTATCTGTATCTGTCCTGACTTGTGTTGTTTTAGTTTTAGCCATTGTAATTGCTTGCCCATATCATCTTAGACATGTCTCTCTTTTTTTGGCCACGTCTTGTGGCTTGCTGCATCTCAGTTCCCAAGCCAGGGATTGAAGTAAGGCTCATGGCAGTGAAAGCGCCAAGTCCTAATCGCTGGACCACCAGGGAATTCCCTAAGATAAGTTTTTTAATAATAACTAAGATTACTGGGCTTTTTTATGTGCGAGTACTATTTTAAGCACTTCACATTAACTTGTTTAATCCTCACAGTACCTCCATTTTTACAATTAAAAAACTGAGGCACAAAGAGGTTAAGCGATTTCCTTAAGGTCACAGACCTAATAAATAGCTGGGATACAGAATCAAGAAGTTTTGACTGTCTGGCTCAAATTGTTTAGCATTGTACCATACTATGTGTATGTGTGTATTATATACATGTTTATCATTGTTTTGGTGATCGTACAGTATCTCATTGTATGGATATACTTTTTTTTTTTTTTTAGAATTCCAAAACTCCAACAACAATTATGATATTTATTTAAAGTAATACATTTACAGCCCAGATAGTTCTACATTGTACATTTCAGGTTTAACCAGCTTCATAAAAATACTTGAGAACAGCTGTACCCACAGATTTAGACTACTAAATTACTTCTTTGCCCATTCTTCTCTCTCTTTTCTTTCCCGAATAACCTCTTTCAGATACGGTTCAAGGTAGAATTTATCCTCCTCATATTTTGTCCACTGCTCTGTAGGCAGGATCTGCTGCCTCATGCTGAGGTCCAGTGCTCTCTTAATGCGAAACACTCTGTCGTTACAAAGGTTCTCAGGAAGCCTTCTTATGGCTTCTTTTACATCGTTATTCTCATGTATTGTGTCATCTCGCATTAAGCCCAGTTTATTGAACCCAGCAGCGTTGTAATACCATTTTCGAATACCCTCCAGCCACCTGCTTGATGCTGAAACAGCTGGCCGGCCCGCCATGTTGACCTGACCATGGATATACTTTAGTTTGTACCCAGTCTATCCCCACCGAGGAATATTTAGGATGTTTCGAGTGTTGAGTGTGTTGTCATAACCAGGGTTCCAGTGAAACATCTTACATACATTTTAGTGTATCTGTAGGTAAAATTTCTAGAAATACAATTATTGGACCAAAGGGCATGCACATTGAAAATTTTTTCAGATATTAAATTATCCTCCTGTAATTGTACTAGTTTACATTCATACCAGCAGGTTATGAAAGTTTCTAAAACAACAATTTAAATCTAAATTTGAGGGTAACTGTGGTTGGATAGTGATGAGTACTGTCTTCAAGTGCCTCTGTATCTTGTTAGCATTTCTTTTCTTAAAAATATGTATCTCTGGATTTGATTATTGGCCATCTAACTGTAGCCAGTTGTTGGGAAGAGGAGTACACAGTTTAACAGAAAATTTTACTTGTTCAAAATGGCCTTCAAACCAATCAGTTGTCAAACATGGGACTTCCCTGTGGGTCTAGTGGTTAAGAATCGGCCTGCCAATGCAAAAGACACGGGTTCGATCCCTGATCGTCAAACTGAGATTCCATATGCCACAGGGCAACTGCTGAGCCCGTACTCTAGCACCCTCGAGCTGCAGCTACGAAGCCCACATGCCTTAACTACTGAAGCCCGTGCTCTGCAACAAGAGAAGCTTCACTGAAATGAGAAGCCCACACACCACAGCCCATATGCTGCAGTAAAGACCCAGCACAACCAAAAATTAAAAAAAAAAAAATGTTAATCTAAACCTTTTAAAACTTTGGTAAGTTGATTTGTCACCACAATCTTTTAAGATCAGGACAACCTCAATAAGACTGAGCATGTACAGTTCCCAGTTGACTGCTTTCATGGAAACTCCTTACTGGAGTCCCTATTAAACTCCCAGTGGGCAGAGGCAGAGAGCCAAACACTGCTAAATCACTGTTTTCAGGGAATGGGGACGTTAAGACAAATAAGACCAAATGCTTTATACAACTCAGATTTCCTTCCTAACTAGTTTTCCTGCTCATTGGTAAGTTATTTGTCTTCTTCCTCATTCCCATTTCTGTTTTTAGAGTTAAGGTGATTTGTTTTATTCAGTAGATTTAAATTTTGTCTAGTGAACTTAGAACTTACTAGGAGGCCTTCACTTGCTGAGAGTAGGGTGTTATCTTTGGTGGTACCATGACCTCACATTCAGGGCCTACCGGCAGGAGTAAAATAAAACAAACTTAGTTTTCATACACATCCTTAAGCAGGTGACAGGAAATCTGATTAATTCAATGGCATGCGTGCTGAGTCGCTTCAGTCCTGTCTGACTCTTTGTGACCCTATGAACTGTAACCTGCCAGGCTCCTGTGTCCATGGGATTCTCCATATGTATTCAAAGTTACCATCTCCTTTGACGTGGAAAGAGTATTGGAGACTCTTTCCATTAATTATTGGTGATGGTGATGTCTTGCTTCATTTCTACTCAGGAAATTTGTCATTTTATTTTCAAGGACTGAGTGTCTTCTGGGCCTGTTAATATCTGTTCTATTAAGTTTTGGATTACTGTAATATTTCCTCCTGTTTACTGATCAAAGATTTAGATCCACTGCTGATCTTTGTCTTCCTTATTGCTTGACTCTAGTTTTTGGAAATGAAAAGAAACTGGGAACTCCAGATATCATCAGTACTATCCTGCCCCCAATCCCTCCCAGCATCAGGGTCTTCTCCAATGAGTCAGTCTTCGCATGAGGTGGCCAAAGTACTGGAGTTTCAGCTTCAGCATCAGTCCTTCCAATGAACACCCAGGACTGATCTCCTTTAGGATGGACTGGTTGGATCTCCTTGCAGTCCAAGGGACTCTCAAGAGTCTTCTTCAACACCACAGTTCAAAAGCATCAATTTTTCAGCACTCAGCTTTCTTCACAGTCCAACTCTCACATCCATACACGACCACTGGAAAAACTAGCCTTGACTAGATGGACCTTTGTTGGCAAAATAATGTTTCTGCTTTTTAATATGCTGTCTAGGTTGGTCATAACTTTCCTTCCAAGGAGTAAGCGTCTTTTAATTTCATGGCTGCAGTCACCATCTGCAGTGCTTTTGGAGCCCCCCAAAATAAAGTCTGACACTGTTTCCACTGTCTTCCCATCTATTTCCCATGAAGTGATGGGACCGGATGCCATGATCTTAGTTTTCTGAATACTAAACTTTAAGCCAACTTTTTCACTCTTTTCTTTCACTTTCATCAAGAGGCTGTTTAGTTCCTCTTCACTTTCTGCCATAAGGGTGGTGTCATCTGCATATCTGATGTTATTGGTATTTCTCCCGGCAATCTTGATTCCAGCTTGTGCTTCTTCCAGCCCAGCGTTTCTCATGACTCTGCATATAAATTAAATAAGCAGGGTGACAATATACAGCCATGATGTACTCCTTTTCCTATTTGGAACCAGTCTGTTGTTCCATGTCCAGTTCTAACTATTGCTTTCTGGCTTGCATGTAGGTTTCTCAAGAGGCAGGTCAGGTGGTCTGATATTCCATCTCTTGAAGAATTCTCCACAGTTTATTGTGATCTACACAGTCAGAGGCTTTGGCGTAGTCAATAAAGCAGAAATAGATGTTTTTCCGGAACACTCTTGCTTTTTCGATGATCCAGCGGATGTTGGCAGTTTGATCTCTTCAAGAAAATTAGAGATACCAAGGGAACATTTTATGCAAAGATGGGTTCGATAAAGGACAGAAATGGTATGGACCTAACAGAAGCAGAAGATATTAAGAAGAGGTGGCAAGAATACACAGAAGAACTGTACAAAGAAGATCTTCACGACCCAGATAATCACAATGGTGTGATCACTCACCTAGAGCCAGACATCCTGGAATGTGAAGTCAAGTGGGCCTTAGAAAGCATCACTACTTGTTTATAGTGAAGTCTAAATGAAGACAACCATGAATGTGTCTCTAATATTAAAATGTTGAAAGCTTAACAGTTTTTATATTTGGGGCAAAATTTATTTTTAAAATTTTCTTTTATCTCTTAGTTTTATAAGAAATATTTTTATGAAGGAGAGAGGATTTATCTTCCATTTACTAAAATTGATCACTTTTTCTTCACTTTCATATTTTGGATAAAATTAGGCTAGAGCCACTTTTGAGACTTCGCTTGGAAAGAGAGAATATCAATAAAGAGAAAGTGTTAGTGTGCCTCAGAGTACACTCCGTAGAGAGAATTTTGCCTTATTCACTATTGTAGCTCTTACAGCTAAAATAGTGCCTGCCATATAATATGTAATTAATTTGTTGAGTGAATAGGAAGTAGAAAACTAAATTGTGATGCCTCATAGTTGGCATTCTTTATACCATTTAAGATGAATAAACTAGTTACATGTGTCAACTTGGATAAATGTCAAGGACTTTCCTGGTGGTTCCCTGGCTAAGACTCTGCACTCCCAGGGCAGGGGCCCAGGTTTGATCCCTTGTCAAGGAAGTAGATCCCACATGTCATGGCTTCCCAGGTGGCTCAGAGGTAAAGAATCTGGCTGCCAGTGCCAGAGACACAGGAGATGCAGGTTCGATCCCTGGGTTGGGAAGTTGACCTGGAGGAGGAACTGGCAACCCACTTCAGTATTCTTGCCTGGAGAATTCTGTGGACAGGAGAGCCTGATGGGCTATAGTCAGTGGGGTCACAAAGAATCAGACATGACTTAGTGACTGAGCATGGATACACATACCATCTGAGATGAGTAAACTGTTACATGTAGTAACTTGGATAATATCAGAGGTAGTTTCAAAGAAAAAATTAAGTTGCAAAGTGATATACATATGGATATGATATAATACCATAAAACTTAAACTTGAAAAATGATGCAATATTTTTTATATAGATATAGCTACACAAAGGAAAAGTACTAAAAGAAAAAATGGACAGTGATAAACCAAACTCATTGTGGTGATTACTTTGGGGAAAGGAAGAGAAAAATTGGATTGGATTAGTTACTCAGAGAGCTTCAGTTTTATTTGTAGTATTACATCTCTTAAACTAGTTGATAAGTAAATGGTTGTTTGTTATATTATTCTCTACACTTTTTGGTACAATTGAAATGTTTAATAGTCAAATGAGAGGTTACAGATCAGAAGTCAGCAAACTAAGGGCCAGTAGGCCAAATTCTGTTTGCTGCTTGTGTTTTGTCCAGTCCATGAGCTAAGAATTATGATTGCTTCTTATAGTTTTAAATGGTTGGAAAAAACGGAAAGAAGGGACTCACCTGGTGGTTCAGTGGTTAAGAATCCGCCTGTCGAAACAGGGGAGAACGTGTTCAATCCCTGGTCACACAAGATTTTACATGCCGCAGGGCAACTGAGCCTGCGCACCACAACTGCCGAAGCCCCAGAGTCCTAGAGCCTGTGCTCTGCAACAAGAGAAGCCCCATGTGCTATAGCTAAGAAGAGCAGCAATGAAGACCCAGTGCAGTCAAAAAAAAAAAAAAATTGAAAGAAGGATATTTCATGATATTTCATGTGAAAATTATACAAAATTCTGATTTTGGCATCCATAAATAATTTAATTGGAGATAACCACACTCATTCTTTACATATTGTCAGTGACTGCTTTCACACTGCTATAATATCAAAGGTAATTGTCACAACAGAGATAAGACTCTCAAAGCCTAAAATATTTATCTGAGCCTCTACAGAAAAAGGCCAATCTGTAGTATAAATGAATTCTGATCCTGGAATAATGGTGATACAACAGAGCAGATGAGATGCTATTTGGTGAATACTTGTAATAAGTTGGACGTAGTTTTTCCCAGATTGTGTTTTTTAAAAGAACATTTTAATCAAAAGTCAGAGAGATACTGACTTTCATGGAAGTTTAAAAGTGGTTGCCCAATAGAATTTCATCTTCTTGAATAAGTCTAAATCTAATATAGATGCCCAGGTTGTTGGTGGAGGGAATCCTTTGTTGTTGTTCAGTCACTAAGTCCTGTCTGACTCTAT